GCCGGGCGGGGCGGCAGGGCAGCTCCGGTGAGTGCTTCGCGGGCGGGCGGGCGGCGCCCAGCCCTCGGCCGCTGGGTTCTGCCAAATGGGGGGGGACCCCGCCCAGCCGGGAGCCCGGAATTGGATCGGGGAGATTCGAGAGGGGAGCGACGGGGCCTTCTCCCGGGCAGTTTGAGGATGGGGCGGAAGGAGAGGACAGCTGTGGGGCTGGGGGCGGCCAGGTGACCCTACCCCTCGCAGGATCCTCAGGCGGGTGCAGCGGGGAGAGGACTCAGAGGGCGGAGGCGCTGGCTGAGTCCTGGGCCCTGCTGCCGCTGAGGCTTCCCTAGGGAAAGGGACAGAGATGCTGGTGTATGCCTCTCGGAGGCCCCTGAGAGGGCTACAGCGCCCCCTCCCCGTGTAGGGGGTGTGTATGTGTGTGTGTGAGAAACAGACGTTGGTGACTGCGGACTTGGGGATGGTCTCCATGGCACTCACCCTTGCCCCAGATGTTTAAAAGTCAAGACAGGCAAACCCCAAAACCGACCCCCTGGAAATGTTTCAGATGGAACTGCCCAATAGAACTCCTTAATTAAAAATCCACAAGGTTGAACATCCCTTGGAGCCGCTGCCACCTGATTGATGTGGCCCACACCGCCCCCTGTCCGAGCCCTAGAGTGGGGACCAGACTCTCCTCCAATTGGGGCACAAGGCCTGGCACAGGGGTAGGACGTGAGCGCCTTCAGGTGGAAGTGGCTTCCCTACCTTCAGGACCAGCAGGCTTGTCTCAAGACCCAGGCTCCAAGCAGGCAGACAGCACTTCCTTCCTAACCTTGCCCACTCTGAGGACATCGGCAGGGCTGAGACTGCCCTGGCTGCTCACCAGGAGCCCCCCTCAGACCTCGCTGCCCCGGAAGCTGTCCACCTCCACAATGGCTCAGTGATGGCTCCAGGGCTTCGCTAGTCTTCCCCCCACATAGCTGCCCTTCAGCCCTTCGGAGGCACAAGGCTCTCTCATGTCTCCCAGTCAGCAAACCATTTCACTGGGCACACAAACCAGACTGAGCCAGCGGTCCCCAGATTGCTTGCTCCACTCTCCTGCTTCATCCATGCCCTGCATCCAGCACAGTCACACCACGTCTCAGGCAGTGTGCGCTGCTACCCCAGCTCTGCATGCTCCCTGAATCCTATCTTCCACTCAGTTTACCCAGCCCCACCCTCGCCATGTCCCCAGAAGGATGAGAGGCCTCCCAAACGTGTGCCTCAAGCTTGTCTTCTTGCCTTTCACAACCCTTCCATGTGCTCAGCATGTGTCTTTGAGGGGGGCCTCTCTTTGCCAGGGCTGCCTTCACTACCTGTGTCTCTGTCCCCTAACCTTACTCCCTGGTGTTGCAGGACCTTCCCCCTGGCCAAGGCTGAAGCAGCCAGCCCCTTCTCTTCTCCCTCAGCCTTCACACCCCTCCACTGCAGCACTGAGCTGTCTCCGCCACTGGGCAGTGAGATCCCTGAAGGTGGAGATTCTCACCTCTAGTCTTTGCTGGCTAAGTACCGCAGGCAGCCTTGTATTAGGGCTTCTATTGCATACAAGATGGAGGGATGGATGTTCTGAGGGGCAAAGGTGGTGTTTTTCTTGCCTTTCACCCTTCCACACACTACGCTGTTTGCATCATATCTGCAGGCTCGGCTCTGTTACTTGAGAGGGGGAGAAGGAGAGAAAGTGCATTTCCAAATGATGACATTTGAAATTATTTGGAGCTGACCAACAGATCCATTAGTGAGCAGCATTTCTCTGAATTCTCCCTGAGGGAGGGGCCATTCCAGTGATTAAAGTTCCTGAGTGCAGAGCTGCTGGCTGCAGATGTGGGCGCACAGGCAGTGAACGCAGCTCCCAAGTTGGCATTCCTATAAATGACCTAGTAGTTGGCATCCCCTGGCAGAACTAGAAGGGCACAGAACTGGTCCCCAGGGATCCTGTTAGCCCGCACTGGCTGTGCCTCTGCAGCCTGGTGGAGAAGACAGAAGGAAGCACACCAAAAGAGGGCCCTTTCCCCACCTCCAGGGCCTTCTCTTTTAAAGATTGGCATTTATGGATCAGATCTGGGGCATTACCTCAGCTACCCACCCCAGCCCTGCTCCCTGGGACCCAGAAACACTGATCTGTTTGTAATAGCCTTAAGTCAGCTTTCCACGGGGCCTGTGTGAGCCTGAATATAAAAGTTAATGCCTGATGCCAAGTGAGCTGCAAGGTGCCTATGCCCTTGAAGCACACTCTGCAGATTAATTGGAGCGGGATCCAGGCGTGTCACCTCTCAGACTGGTCCTGGGGGCTGTGTGAGACCACCAATCCCCTATTTGGATGAGTGGAGATTTGGGCTTAAATTCACAAATCTAGACCTATCAGTCCAGATCTTCAACCCGTGTTATTGTCAAGCCAGATATGTACCTGGGGGACTTAGGGGGTCTCCAGCCTCAGTTTCAGCTTAACATGCCCTCATCTTAGTTGGTGGATTGAGGTTTTCATTTAGCTCAATGTGGCCGTTCTTTAGTTATATAAAGCAAGTAATTTTTTAGGGTAAACTTTACTGATTAAAATTGAAGTTGGATTTGAGAAACTAGTGACTGCTTGGAAATGTTTATTTCGTGGTTGCCACCTAGGCACTGAAAAGTGGTTCTGAGTCTTCGATGTGTTAGTTTGTTCAAGCTGCACAGGAGTCCTGTAGGGTGAGACCATCTGCATTAAGAGATGAGGGAGGCGAGGGGGGAAAGGCTGCCCGGGTGTCATGCTCAGGGTCACGTAATAAAGAGTGAAATCCAGGTTTTGTAGTTGTAGGTGCAAGGCTTTCCCTAAATGCCACAGCGCCCTGTCCCTTGAAGGCAGGTGCAGATCGTAGGATCTGTTAGGTACTTTGGGCCAACCTTTGAATTCCTTTCACCCTGTGGCCCAGGAGCCACACTTGTTGTGGAGTCTTTCTGAGCCTGGAGACGAGAGTCTGGGAGCCAGCTTTGCAGAGAGAGCACCTTTGAATGCTGTGGGGGTATCTGTGGAGTTGTATGCTGACCCTCCTCCCCTCTGAATGGTCCCCACGTTCTGGTTTGGGGGGTTGCCTCTGAGACCAGGGCCCCACACACACGCCACCTTTGAACCCCATGGCTCCGGCAGGGGGTGGATGTGTACAGCCCCCTACCCCTTGGAAGGTTAAACGGGCTCGGATTCTGGCTTTTCCAGGCCTTGGGAACCCATTAGGATGCCTGAGTGCGTCTCTCTCCTGCCCTAAGCCTGGCTCCCACCATGAGTGCCGAGCTCAACGTGCCTGTGGCCCCCTCCACACCAGCCTGCTCTGAGCCCGGCCACAAGGGCATGGATTACCGGGACTGGGTCCGCCGCAGCTACCTGGAACTGGTCACCTCCAACCACCACTCGGTGCAGGCCCTCTCCTGGAGGAAGCTCTACCTGAGCAGGGCCAAGCTGAAGGCCTCCAGCAGGACCTCCGCCCTCCTCTCTGGCTTCGCCATGGTGAGTGCTGTCATGCGGTGGGAAACGCAGCCGGCCAAATGGGCCCGCCGAACGGGCCTTTGCTAATCAGGATTCTGTGAGGCTTCAAGGAGCACGGCATTCCCTCTGGGCCCCCTGACAGCAGGGGTAGACCATTAGGAATATCCCACCCACATCCCAGCTCCTCCAAGAGGATTGCACTATCAATGTGAGGGGTTTCCGGGGGGTCCAGGGTTGTCCCCAGGCCCCAGAGCCCTCAGAAAGACTGTCCCTCTCTCATGTTCCAAACAAAGTATTTGCCTTCAAGGACATTACAAAAAAAAACAAACAAACCCATTGCCATCGAATCGGTTCTGACTCATAGCGACCCTGCAGGACAGAGTAGAACTGCCCCATAGGATTTCCAAGGCTATAATCTTTACAGGAGCAGACGGCCTGTCTTTCTCCTGAAGAGCTGCTGGGTTTGAACCGCTGACCTTCTGGTTAGCAGCCAAGTGCTTAACCACTGGCACCACCAGGGTACCTTCAAGGAGATTAAAACCAAACAACCTGTTGCTGTTGAGTTGATTCTGACTCATAGCGACCGTATAGAACAGAGTAGAACTGCCTCGTAGGATTTCCAAGGACGGCTGCTGGATTCAAACTGCTGACCTGTTGGTTAGTAGCCGAGCTCTTCAACCACTGCGCCACCAGGACCCCTCAAGGACGTTGGTGGGGGTTAATTAACGTATCTCCAGTGTAGAGGGTTTCCTGGAAAAAGATACCCATGGCTACCCCGTCTTGGGCAACACCGAAGAATTTGGAAATCAGTGATTTGAGCAGGAACTGTGGGATTGATTGGGGTGTATTCAGTTTAGCCCAGCATTTGGGGGCACAGACACTCCCGAATATGGCCTCTGGGTGATAAAGCAGAGCCTCTGGCCTGACGCCCGCTATCCGCTGGGACTTTCCTTCTGAGTCATCCCTGAGGACAAGAGTCAGCCTCAGGCAGAGAGAACCGTGGACACCTCCTGCTGATTCCAAAGCCCCTAGACCCTCCTGGGAATTGTCCTGGTGGGTGAGGCTATGGGGATTCACAGTGAGCATGGACACGGCTGGTTCACGTTGATGGAGCCACCCTCTTTCTCTGTCATATGCTCAGAGGTCCTGTTTGGCTGGCAGGGATTTTTTTTCCTTATGAAAAAGAATTATTTTCTGTAGCCCAAGACCTCAGTTGTCAGATTGGTGGTACAGAAGATCAGAGGCTGTGGAGCGAGGCAGGGTAGCCACTCCCATGAGCAGGGTCTGCTAGGTCATTTGAGTGGGCCACCCTTGGAAAAATGAGACATTGAGTCACAGAGGGCATGGCTGACCTGCTGGGTGAGGCAGAGAGCAGTAAATGTATATTTATGTCTGTAGTCTAAAGCTAAGGCTTACGTAGGTCTTGAGGGTTTATGTTTTTTTTAACATAATTATAAAAGTATACAATCATATTGTGCACAACTTTGGCTAGTAGTGATTTTCTTCCCGTGATTTGCATCCCATTAAAAAGACAAAATATTTTCCCAAGCTTAATTTTAAGAAATACGTGTGAGAAGTTTAGATGTCACTATTAAAATCATAGCTTGCTTTCTATACCACAGAATAATTATAGTATTAAATTCTTCTGGCCTGTCCTTTTTTTTTTTTACTTTGGAATACTCATTCTGAGAAACTTTGTGTGATCTAATATAATGCAATAAGGTTTCCTTCCTGTGTGAGGCCCAGGTCTGGGAAGTCACTTCCTGTCTGTAGGTGTCTCTTGAAGACCCTGTCTTCCAAATATTTTCATTTCCAAACTTAGGAAGGCGTCAGTGTTTTTCTAGCCGACAAAATGCTCACCCAAGTTGAAGGCCTCACAATCACTAATTAAAATGTGAAAACAAGCCATGTAAATAAAGTTATACAACAGAAAACATGATTTCTGGAGAAGGGGTTTTGAGACTTCACGGGAGCCTCCAAGGTGGGAAGTGGTCTTCGAATGAGAACATGATGACTGGGCGCAGGGATGGGTGTCCTAGGTCACCCTGGGCCCCAGGCAGGTCCCCAGTGCTGTCTGTCCTTGGCTTGGCAACATCACACCTTCTATTGACAATTCATTTCTTCATCATTTGTGGAGTATCTCCTCGGTACCAGCGAGGCCTTCCTTAGGCATTTGGGGGACATTTCCCAGGTTACACAGTACCTGTGCACCCTGACTGAGACGTGCCCTCTCAGGAAGGCTGCCCTGCCTAGCATGCACTGCAGGCTCACTCGAATGCCCAGCTTGGGCGAATGGGGTGGGGAGGGCAGCCATGTGCCCACTCGATTGGATTAGTGGACATGCTGCCAGTAAAGCAGATAAAAAACAGCTCAGACAATGGAGCAGCACAAGGCAAATAAGTGACAAATGTAGAACATCAGATGGTACCTCAGCTCTGTAGCCACAGCTGAACGAGGCAGGGACTGAAAGGAAATGTGGAAAAATGGAAACAGGCCCTTTGCTGGAACTGAATTGTTGGAGTCCCTGGGTGGTGCAAATGGTGAATGTGCTCTGCCACTAGCTGAAAGGTTGGAGGTTTGAGTCTACCCAGAGGACCCTCAGAAGAAAGGCCTGGTGATCTATTTCCAAAACATCAGCCAGTGAAAACCCTATGGGGCACAGTTCTACTCTGACATACTCATAGTCACCGTGAGTCTCTGTTAGTTCTCCCTCTAATTAGCATTGTAAAGCTATTCCTTTGCCCAACACCAGCATTTATGTCTAACAGGAAGCTTATCTCTTTATCCTTCCCCTAACACAGAAAACCAGTGATCTGAGGCCTCCTCATAAAATCTCTGCATAAACATTACACTTGAAAATGGCCCTAATTTAGCCTTTGCTCCTAGTGAGGTGGAACAGAACTGCTTTGCTGGTAGGCACTATCCTGGCCTTTTGATCATCTTTTTCTCTTATCTCAGAATCATCTTCCTTTGCATTATTCTTTTATAATTATAGTTACCACCCTGGGCCCATAACCTTTGTGGTAACAAGAGTTTATCTGAAGCCACAGGGCACTGAGAAAGGACCACCCCTCAGCCTGTGGTTTCTATCTCTTTGGATACTTTTCAGAATGACCTCAGCAATAATCACTGCTGACGCTGTTCAGCTTGTGGTCCACTAAGACTGCCCTATCTTCTTTTTACCTACCACATGTTTCATCTCCACGGAAGACAGGATTAGGAAATTAAGTATCTTACTCTGAGAGGTAGTAGTTGCTAGAAAAAGTTGTGAAATCTTCTCTCTTGTGGATTTTTAAAAACAAGGGTTGTTCAGATCTAGAATGCAAACACAGTGGATAGAAAAGCCTTCCTCTGGCTTCGCTCTTTCTGCATCTTACTCCTCTCCTTGCTTCCTTGGCTAGTCTGGTTTCTTACCTTTGAGTGCCTGGGAGAAGTCTCCTGGTGCGTCTTTGTGGAGTGAGCCCCAGAGTCCTTGCTGGAGCCTGGACTAAACCCTCCCCTGGGCAGTCCTCAGGGCTGGGGGGACAGGAGTAGGGAGCGGTGTTAGGGAACCAGTGGGTCTGACTGCTGGGTGAGCTGTGAAAGCCCCTTAGGATGTGTGGTGAGCAGGGCCGGGCCTGACTACGGCAGAGGTAAGCTGGCCTCTGGTTCCCTCTGTGGTTTTTTTTCCCCTTCCATTAAACAACAACAAAATTTTTTTTTTAAATAAAGTATAATACATGCACGTAGTTAAAAAAAAAAAGTTAAGTCCTGCTAAAAGGCTTATGGAACCCTGGTGGCACGGTGGATAAGCATTTGGCTGCTAACCAAAAGGTCGGCAATTGGAAACTACCAGCTGCTCCTTGGAAACCCTGTGGGGCAGTTCTGTTCTGTCCTGTAGGGTCGCTATGAGTCGGAATCGACTCGACAGCAACGGGCTTTTTTTTTACAAGACTTAAAACAAAACTCAGCAGCCCCCAGTCCCCAAGCTCCCCACCCTCAGCCATGTGAAACTCTTGTTTTTTCTGCCGTTCACTCCGTTTCTAAATGCCAGGCTTAGACTGCTGTTTCTCCAGTTATCAGTGTTAGACATTACCTGTTGGCTGCTGTGATTGTGGTTGCTGATTTAACGTACTTTTTCCAGCCCGGCCCCCTTCCCACAATTTCCCCTACTCACCGTTTATCCCCACTTCTGTCACGTCCCTGGGCTCAGCTGAGAGCACCATGTGGTCGGCGTGAGGCTGTCTGTCCTGTGTGCAGCTCCGAGTCTAGGGGCACAAGGAGCTTCCGTTTTTACCTTTTCAGAGGTTAGTTTTTACTTTTTTACAAAAACAGGAGTTGTTCACCTCAGTTTTAAAATATTAATAATGATAAAGGCACACAGAATACGAGGTCACGACTTTTCTTGAACCCATGAGATAGCTGAGGTCTTGGGGAAAAAAAAAGCTGAACACCCCGGTGTGGCTCTGCCTGGGTTGTAGGTGGGCACCCCCGCACACCCCATGTTTGTTTCGGGAAGGCACTAGAGGGCGATTCTTTTCCCCCCCAGGCTTCTTTACTCTCTTCTTACTTCTGGATTTTTCTGCAGTGAGGTCTTCTTTAGCTAATCCAAAAAAAGGAAAGTTAGAGATTTTAAACAGTACTGGGTGTGTCCCTGCAGGTGACTCCATGGGGCCCCCTGCCCTGCCCACCTGGCCCCACCCAGCAGCACCCGAGCACCCGCTCTGCTTTTTTTCTTACTATAGTAAAATACATATAACAATAAATTTTGCCGTTTGAACCATTTTTAAGTGTACAGTTCAGTGGCATTAATTCACAGTGTTGTCCAACTATCACCACTGTCTATTTCCCAAGCGTTTTCACCACCCCGAGCAGAAACTCTGTACCCATTAAGGAATAATGCCCCCTCCTCCCCTCCCCCAGCCCCTGGTAACCACTCATCCACTTTCTGACTCTATGCACTTGCCTATTCTAGATATTTCAGGTAAATGGGATCATTTATCTGGCTTCGGAAACCCTGGTGGCATGGTGGTTAAGAGCTATGGCTGCTAACCAAAAGATTGGCAGTTTGAATCACCAGGCGCTCCTTGGAAACTCTGTGGGGCAGTTGTACTCTGTCCTGTAGGGTCACTATGATCGGAATTGACTTGATGGCAACAGGTTTTTTGTTTTTTTTCTTTCACTCAGCATGATGTTTTTGCGGTTCATCCATGTTGTAGTGTGTATCAGGACTTTGTACCTCTTTGTGGCTGAGTAGTACCCCCGCGTGTGGCGGCACCATGCGTGTCGATCTGTTTGCCGTTGACAGTGCCGCTCTGCCTTGCAGGTGGCCATGGTGGAGGTGCAGCTGGAGACGCAGTACCAATACCCGCGGCCGCTGCTCATCGCCTTCAGCGCCTGCACCACAGTGCTGGTGGCCGTGCACCTCTTCGCCCTGCTCATCAGCACGTGCATCCTGCCCAACGTGGAGGCAGTGAGCAACATCCACAACCTCAACTCCATCAGCGAGTCGCCGCATGAGCGCATGCACCCCTACATTGAGCTGGCCTGGGGCTTCTCCACTGTACTTGGCATCCTGCTCTTCCTGGCCGAGGTGGTGTTACTCTGCTGGATCAAGTTCCTACCCGTGGACGCGCGGCCCCAGCCTGGCCTCCCACCTGGCCCGGGTGGCCACACGGGCTGGCAGGCCGCCCTCGTGTCCACCATCATCATGGTGCCCGTGGGCCTCATCTTCGTGGTCTTCACCATCCACTTCTACCGCTCGCTGGTGCGGCACAAAACTGAGCGACACAACCGCGAGATCGAGGAGCTGCACAAGCTCAAGGTGCAGCTGGACGGGCACGAGCGCAGCCTGCAGGTGGTGTAAGGACGCTGGTGGCACAGGGATGGCTGCAGGGGGGCGGGGGGCTTCCCTTCAGAGGAGGAGACATGGGCAGTAGATCCCCCATGGTGTGCCCTGAGCCCAGCAGAAATTGCCTGCATTTGGGGGAATTTAAAAAATGCCAAGTGTCAGCGAGGCTGTGTAGACACTGCCAGATAGTTGAAGACCAAAGTTTTACTCCTGTCTTAATGCTGTAGCGTTCTCTGGACAATTCTCCTCTGAAAATGGAAATCCTTAGTGAAACAAGAGACTCCATTGCTAAGAGCAAAGGAGGCAAAGAAAGGCTGACTCCTCTACCCTGGGCATTTCCCGGGAAGAGAAGGGCAGCTGAGAGGGGTCCGAGCGGTGAGATGTTGGAATGGGCGTTGAGGGCAGGCTGAAGATGCCCAAGGGCACGTGCCCATCAGCTCCATTCCAGGAAGGGCTCCAAGCAGCACCCAGTGGTCAAGGGTAATCTCGGAGACCTGGGGCCAGAGGGTGCTGGGAGCCTGGAGGGGCAGGGAGTCTGTGTTCAGAGGACGATTGCTCTGTAAGACCTGAGTACTTCTGGGTAGCATGTCTGACGGTGACACACTATTGTGGTAGACGGGGACTGGAATATGGGGTGGGGTGGGGCACGGGATCCAGCGTAGCTTGGTGCCCCCTCCCCACCATGGCTTGTGGAGGGTGGGCAGGAGCCCGGGTACGTGCCCGCTCAGCAGCTCAGTATGGCTCAGGCCCAGGGTGGAGGCCTGGCCAGGGTGAGGGTGCAGGTAATGAGTATCCTGTGTGAGACCAGGCCTGAGGAGGCCGAGCTCACTGAAGTGCTCTAAAGCCCACCAGGCTCAGTGTCTCTTTTCCCAGCGAGCCTGGAGCCCTGGCCACACTGACCCATGAGGCCACCAGGGTAGGAGAAGAGCCCCAAGTCTGGAGGCCTCCACCTCCTGGCCCAGAATGGCCTCTGAGCCTGTGTCAGCCACCCCTCCCTTCTGTGTCAGCAGAAGGCTAGGAGCACGTACCCAAGCAGCAGGCCTGTCTGTCCCCTACCGCCCTGTCCCAGGAGAGAGGGGCAGCCCGGGGGGCTTCCTGTCTAAACAGCACCATTTTCCTGGCCTCTGGGTAGGGGAACCAGGGGCCAGCCCTGGCTAGATGCAGGCCCTCCTGGTAGTGATCCCTAGCCCCTCTGCAGGGAATGCGGGGCCCCCACACGGTGTCCCCCTCCTGGGCCTCCAGGCCTCTCATGTTTACACAGCCGTGCCCAGGGTGGGGCCTGGTGGGGTCACTGAGGACGTCTGGTAGACATGAGCCCCGTCCCTGGTGGCTGCATACACGCTGCAGTGCCAGCTTACGTGGAAGCATGCTGTCCCTGTGCAGCTTTTAAAAACCATGTTTACCACATTTTCCAGTGATAGCCTGGAGAGGGATGCCTGTTCTTCTGTGTTTATAAGTGGGCATTGGACATCTTCATGCTCTGATCTCATTTCTTGTGACAGTTTAGCATCTCTGTAGGGTCTGGGCTGTCAGTGCCTGGAAGGCCTGGATGGCCTGGTTGGGGCTCTGGGTGTGTGACACGCTGGTGAGAAGACAAACCCTAACACATAACTGAAACGTTGAGGCCCTCGTGGGAGGTTTGAGATGCGCCGAGCTTGGGTGTGCGTTGCATCCCATCAGGAGAAGAGCCTGGCGTCCTCTGCAGGGTGTGTCTACATCCTCTTCAGACATCTGTCTGGTCCTTGCTTGCCCTCTGCTGCATGTCTGTCCTTTCCAGGAGCCTTGCTGAAAAGGCTTATCTGGTTTAATCTGTGTGTTTGCTTTGCCAAAAACTTCAGTGACACTCCAAATAGCCACTTTGAGTCCTGCAGGGAAGGCAGACCCCCACTGCCAAGTTGGCTGCTTTCTGGGTATGTGGCACCCACACAGGGAGGGGCAGCAGGCCCTTTGTCTGGCTTGAGCCTTTGGGGAGGGGCCATGCTGGGCCATCATCCTGCTGCCGACATCCCTAGTCTACCAGGCCCCCTGCCACACTGTGCTCGGTGTCCAAGCTCCAAGCTCCCCCAACTCTGGAAAGCCTCCAGCTCCTGCCTGGGGGCCAGTCGTCCCACCTGTTCCATGTGCGGAGCTTTTGGCCTGGCAGCATCGGGGTCAGACAGGTGGACCTGATGGTGGTGCCACATGGGTAGGGAAGATGCCACATACTGTGTCTTTTTTATACTCTGATCAGAAAAACAACATTCTTGTACTTCCTTGTTCTGTCATCCAGAGGACTGCCCCGGCTCCTGCCTCCTAGTTCCCCGAGGCACAGGGCAGACAGATTTCTGTGGGCACAGAGATGGCCGTGAGGATAGGGAGCGGCAGGCAGGAGGGGCTGTCTTGCGAGCTGCAGAGACAGCTGTGCAGGGAGTGCGGGAAGTGGGGAAAGCAAGTTGCAGTTAGACCTTTGGCTTCTGGAGGGTTAACCTGACTTGGAAGGGTGTCTCGAGTACAGTGGCCTCTGTCTGGTGAGGCAGGTGGCCGCCCTGGAGCCGCCTGGGCTTGTCCTATTTTCCTTTGAGCAGAGCCTTTTTGGTGCTCATAAAACAAATTGCTCAGACATGCTGAGCCCCTTCCAATGTAGAACATGTTCTCCATTTAGTACCTGACCAGAAGTTTCAAAACTTCAGCGTTTCTATTTTAGGGACTGCGATGGCAGGTGGTTATTTTCGCGGCTTCCAGGAAGGTCTGTCTGTTGAGGCCAAAGCCACCTCGGCCCGGTGGATCGAGGCTCATCTGCAGAGTGGTTTCCTGGCTGTGCTTATCAGTTATTTATGCATGGACATCATGCAGATCATAAATGGTGTACATAACCCTGTCTTACATATGGATTTTTAAAATAATTGCCCTGGATTGAACTGAATAAACTGAAGCGATTAAAGCTCCCCCTGCTCTCCGTGGTGTGTGGTGGATGGGGCGGCAAGCGAAGCCTCGTCCTTCCCTGGTGTCTGTTGCACAGTTGGCCGTGCGTCCTGGAATGATCGGTCACTTCTGAAGCCCCACACCTCCTCCTAATTGCTGGTCACTGGCCACAGTGCCATAACAGGTTGCCCAGGCCAATGGGGCGTGGATGTCTCTGGGATGGAGAGGCAGGGTGCTTGGCCAGACTAACATGCTGCAAGGCTGTCGCCACAGGGGGCCCAAGAGAAGGGGTTGCTGCTCAGCAGTGAGCGCCTCTGCCTGCTGCTTCCCTTCCCGGGCTGGGCTCTCCCTTCCCAGAAACACAAGGAGGGGCCACCCATGTGTGTGGCTGAGCCCCACCAGAGCCCATCTGGACAGGGTTGGGGTGCAGGTCCCCACACTCCCCAGGAGAGAAGGAGCCATCGAGGTTCAGGTCCTGCAGTGCCTTCTCCAACAGCAGGTACCTGTGGCTCTGGGGCCAGCACTGGCTGCCCGCCAGGCAGCAGGAACACCCTTCCCACAGCCAGCCAGGTAGAGGCCACCTTCTCCAAGAGAAATTCCATCCTTATTTTTAACTTTCTGGTACTTCAACTTGGAGGCTCTGAGGAATCAGAAGTGCAGTGCAGCTGGCAGTACCTGTGTTCCTGCCAGCCCAGAGGGGACCGACTGCCTCTTCAGCACAGAAAAAAGGCTTCTCAGGGCCATGGGTGGCACAAAGGTCTGGGGTTGGCACAGTGCCCTCTGCCACTGAGCCCACTGTTTTCAAGCCTTCGAGCAAGAAAATACTTAAAGTGGAGCCTGCAGTTTCCTTAATGGGAAAAAGGCACACACACACACCCATATACCCCATCACAGGCAAAAGAGTCACTGGTGGCTCTGGACCATTTCTGCAGTGAGCCCAGGCAAGCCTGCCCCAGAGGGACCCCGTGACCACCCACCCAGCAGACTGTTGAGGACTCACATCTCGACTTAGAGGCCCTGGCAGGTTGAGTGGTAAGGTCATAGCACCCTGCATGGTCCCAGAGACCCCTTGCCAGCCCACTCAGAACCTGCTAACCCCTTTTCCAGCTCCTGTCACCCACTGTGCCTCCCACAAGTTGCTGCGGGACATGGTACTAGACCTAGGCAGGAATAACCCTAGAGGATGCTTCTTGGACTGAACTCAACACCCACTTCCCAAGTCAGAGCCAGCCTGGGCCTCACTGTCCACCACTCAGAACAAATAAGCACCACCAACTTCCCTGATGTCTTCCCAAAGCAGGTCAGGCTGAGGAACATCAGCTGAGCCACCCCTTGACTTACTCTGGAATAGGATGCCGCAGGAAGCTGCCTCAGAGTACATACTTCCATATGAGTGTTATTTTCACAGGCTCACACCTTCTCTTTAGTTTGAGATTGCAAGAGGATTAGAACTGACAAACTAGTCTGTACAAAACGTGTCTGGTGCTTACATTTGCTGAATGACTGCATGAAGGGCTATTCAAAATACGGGGTTAAACTGGCATCAGTTACCCTGCACACGGACTGCTGGGGACCAGCGCCTCAGAACGGGAAGTCCACTGGCACCCAGAAGCCAGGTGTGGGTGAAGCGTCCCAACCGGCGGTCTTGCAGCCCTATCCCGGTTGGTCTATGTGAATGTCCTTGTTGGGGGAGCTATCCCTATGGGAGACAACAGGTCACATGTAGCCTGACAGTCTTCATATAGTAGCTTCAAGGACAAACTCAACTATTGGGGTCACCAACTTGACTATCCTGTAAGGGAACATTCCCTGAAGTGTGTTCTGCAGGACTGTAGGAAGGACCAACCCCCCAAATGTCTGGCAAGCCCTGGGTTATCCTGGTACACTGGGTAAAGCAGGTTTCTTTGCTGACTGGGTCCCCCAAGCCTTAACATGCCTTTCCTGGGGAAGGCTCGGGGACAGGGTCTCCCAAATGCTCTTCCCTACGAAGCCCTTTTTTGGAAGCTCCTTGCAGGCTCCACCCAGGGGCGGGGTTGCTCTAAGGCCCAGCCTGTGAGGGGATGACTCCCACAGGCCCTCTGGAGTAGACCGGCAGCCGCTGCTCACACGCAGCAGGGATGGCTGGAGCTTAAGCTGGGTTTGCACTCGGCAGCCAGCCCTGGCCTGCGTAGGCCTATGAGTGCCCTGCATGGTGGTCACAATGCTTGGGAAGAAGCCATCCTCCATCCTCATGCTCTGAGTGAGCTGTCTGGGAGTCTGCTTCCCACGTCATCCACCAGGCAGCTGGGCCCCTCGCAGCTACTTGAAATCTGAGAGCTTCTCTGGTCTTTCCCAGCGTTCTCCAGACCCAGCGGTGGCTCAGCAGTTGGGATGCTGCTTAGCAGACAGTGCACCCAGCCAGCAGCTCCTCCCTGCTGACAGCTCCCAGGTGTTCTGAGTGTGTTTGTAAGAACCACTCCCAACCATGACCCTGACCTAGCTCTGGTGGGCTGGCTCCTGCTGAGTTGGCTCCCAGCACGTGGGCGGTGAGCAAGTATATTTTGTTTGGAATCCTAGCTGCTGCTCATGAGCATCAGGGGAGGGCAGACCACACAGGCTGAGGGCTGGCCACCATCCCCCTCACTTCATGGCCTGCTCCTCACCTGGCCACAGGAGCATGGGGCAGCTGGCCCGTCCAGGTGAGCACCCTACACAGCACCAGCACCAAGAAAGTGAACAACTTCACA